TCCAACTCCTAAGAGTCTGTGATTCTGTGATTGAACAGCCACACACACTGATGTTAGCTTGCTATGAAGAGTTGCTTCTTTTTAATGTCATTAATTACATCACACGAGATACTACAGTTCTATATAAGTGTAACATCCATAAGTTTCTACATTTCCAGTTTGAGACAAATACTTACATTCATAGCTTTTTTTTCCCCTTGTATTACAGAGAGAGCAAAAGAGGTTTATACACAAGACTAATTGCATGACTGGCTGAATTTGGTACTAAGGCTGTCTTCAAGTTGACTTTCTTAGCTCTCCAGTTCAACAACAGCTTAGGCATTTCACACAGAATCACAGAATCACAGAACATTAGAGATTGGAAGAGACCTCAAAAGATCATCTAGTCCAATCTCCCTGCCGGAGCAGGAACACCTAGATGAGGTTACACAGGAAGGCGTTGATTTAACAACAATTTTATTGATTTAACAATACTATTTCAAGTTTATACTTAGCATTAACAGAAAAATCTGACACATCAGCCATCACCACTGGTCAAGAATGTAGCTGTTACAGTCAGTTATAACCAAATGATTTAGAGATCTGTTAGTAAAGAGGTTCTTTAGGAAAGGCACTGTTTTAAAGAGACTGAAAACTACCTCACATTAATGGCACAGAGATGGTACATCTGTTCAGAAGGAATCTAGGCATGGAGTAAAGCCATTATTGCCTTTTTGCTGTTTAACATACTGGAAACATGCCACATTACATCACATGACAACTCAGACTGAGCAACATCAGGGACATTCACTTATATACACATGCAAGAAGCCTATCTGCTTGTTCCATTTGTCTGTGAAGCCACCTTAATTAAAAAAAAAAGCAATCCTAGGAGATTTTCCTCCTTGAAAAACTGCAGATTAGCACCAAAACAACAGTTAGTGTCCATGACTATCTCAGTGTTCTACAAGGAGTGTTTCGGCTTATCTGACCCTACAGTGTAAACCTCTAGTACTCAAGACCCCAGAAGTTCTGTTACAGACCCCATAGTTAGTCCCTTTATTACACATTTATGGCAGAATGCTACTTTTATAATTAAATGGAAAAATATTGGATTTTTTTTTCCCTTCTACCATACAGTTTACATCTTTGTGGCTCAGAGACCAAGTCATATGTCCAGTCACCAATTAGGAGTAGTGTCCTCTTAACTTTACAACTGGCTGCTGTTGTGATAACATGCAACTGACCTAGTTGTTTAAAGCGTGGAGTTTTAACTACTAATTTAATTCCCTTATGTGAAGGCAGCATTTCTTCCCCAGGTACATTCAGTTCCTATATTGTAGGACATTCAGTGCCACAGAAAGATTAATTGTGGTGACCATATGTACAAGATGCATGACAGTGCTGCTGAGATCTTCTGTGCAAGATTGCAAAGAACTAAAATAACATTAAAATCCACCAATTTGAATTTGGGTCTTCAGTATGAGTCCAACTTTCCATTTGCTTTGCCCTGAATTATCATCTTCACAGCATGTTCTTTGAGGGTTCATGTTTCAATCCACCTGGACATGTTTTATAGACATCATGGAACAGCAACAAGAATGGCAGATGGCAAAACGAAACAAGTAGAAAAGTCATGTTAAGAGGTGCTGCTATTCCATTTGTCCTTTTCTGGTTATGCCTAGCATAACCTAGGTTAGGATGGCTATAACTTATAGTTTTATTGCTTAAACTAGCTTAGAGTCACTAAGAGAACAAAGAGAACAAAGACTAAAATAATAAATAGCAACACTTGTCTTCTGTTAGAAAAGCTAGACAGTATTTCAGGGGAAGACTTAGAGGTGTGGCAGAAGAACAGATTTGCTCGTTTGACAGTTCATGTTCTCTAGTCAGTGGTAAAAAGTTTGAGTTACATTCGTTTCTAGTGACAAAAGCTCTAATAGCCCTTATCCTGTTTTTACTGTAATTCATCCAGGGTACAAATCTGCAATATTTAGGAGATTAAGCTTCAGAAAACTGTATAGGGCACTGTGAGCTAACACGCTCCTAAAGAGATATCTGAAAGATTTTAGTCAGCCTCTCCAAGTTTTTCAGCACATTTACTCATTAAGTTTCTTCAAGGAAGGGAAATCTAGATCTATTGTGACCTTGAGATTTAAGTCCATGGAAGAACAAAATCTTTATTTCTAAGAAAGTGAAGCCAGCTAAGACTTAGAATGCAGCTATAAAAAAGTCTGAACAGAGGTACTCTAGTGCAAGTGTTCTTTTAGGGACTGTTTACCATACTTCAGAGGAGCATTAAAGGTAAGCCACTATAGTGTTCTAGCCTACTCATTACCAAAAGTTTTCCAAATCAATTTTGGAGACTAAAATATATTGTCTTATTAGTGGAAGACTTATCTGATCTATGCAAATGGATTGCCAAAAGGATCACCAAAAGGACCAGAAGGTGGTTTCCGAGATTCCTTCTAAGAAAGAGAGATCATAGGATGTTAATGGATTTCCAGGTTTCATCAGGTTTATTCTGCATGTATGTATCAGATAGTTTCTGTTCCAAACACCTTCTGGAAAGAGAATATTGCTGCTAAATACACATTAACTGTACTGCTTTAACAAGAGAAAAGGGCTCTAAATCCATGTTAGCAGTTATCCTAATCTGAGGCAAGATATCTTTCAGATAAACCATGTGTGCTTAATGAACACTCATTTGAAGCTGAGCCAGTATTGTCATGATGAGGTCTGTTTTAGCCAAATGCTAGATGTCTTAAGTCAGCATTCCAGAATTGATCCAGAATTTCCACCAAGGGCTTCAAGTACTGTGGCCTAAATGGAGTGATGTGGTAAAGCCACTTCCTCCCCCAGGTACTGAACATGGGAGCCTATCATTTGTTCAACTAAAGCTGCACAGTCCGCGCTCTGACTATGCTGCAGAGAGGTAAGCATAGTCAAAGTGGAAGACTTCTGCAGCTACATTATTTTTCAGTCTTCTGTAGAAGCTCCCAATACAGGACTGAAGAACTTGCACCTCAAATACTGCATTCAGCTTTGGGCCCCTCACTGTAAGAAAGACATTGAGGTGCTGGAGCACATCCAAGGAGTAACAAAGCTGATGAAGGGTCTAGAGGAGTGACGAGGGAACTGGGATTGTTTAATCTGGAGAAAAGGAGGCTGAGGGGAGACCTTCTCACTCTCTACAACTACCTGAAAGGAGGTTGTAGAAAGGTGAGTGTCGGTCTCTTTTCCCATGCAAGAAGTGATAGGACAAGAGGAACCAGTCTCAAGTTGTGCCAGGGGAGGGTTAGATTGGATATTAGGAAAAATTTCTTCACTGTAAGAGTGAAAGGTGTAAGGCAACAGGCTGTCCAGGGAAGTGGTGGAATCATAATCCCTGGAGGCATTTAGAAGACATGTAGATATGGCGCTTAGGGACACAATTTAGTGGCAGACTTGGTTGTGCTAGGTTAATGGTTGGACTTGATCTTAAAGATCTTTTCCAACTCAAGCAATTCTAACTTCCTGGTAGGGCTTGCAGCTTGGTAAACTGGTTACAGACTCCCTGAGTGGGGGAATAAGTGGTGGGTTTTTCAGGGGTTTTTTGATACTTACAGATGAGGCACTGAAAAGGTCTGTTTTAGCTTGACTTTCAAATAGGCCATCAGCTGGCAGCACAGTTTGTCGGGGAACAGGCTTTGGTGGTTCTATGAAAGAAAGACATACTGCTATATCACTAAACATCTTTAACAAGTACTCAGCTCTATCTGTATAGCAACATCAAAGCTCATCTAATTAGGTGCACAAAAACCCACACAGAAGTTGCTTTGAGTGACCTTACAATTTTATAATCCTGGTTGTCCCTCAGTACACTGAAGGTAGATGGGACTTCTAACACTGTACAGACATAGTTTTACTCAGTCTAGTCAAGTAGTTTAGGCACTAGGTGTCAGTGTTTGGCCACTGACATTGGTCAATTATTTAGCATTATTAGGGGAGACAGTCTTTCAACTCTGTTTCAGCAACCATTAAATCAAATTTTTAGTTCTATCAGAAAAGAATAGTGATCAGCCATCCCACTGCCTGAGCAGCTATCCAAGCAGAAGAAGAGATTTTTCAGTCACTTTGTCAGACAGCTTGCTAGCTTCCATGTCATCATAATCTGTACTATCTTGATGAATGCCTACTTTACTAGTAAAATAACTGCTGAAAGATCCAAAAAGCACCTGAAAGGCTTTGCTGCTCTCCTCTCCTTGCTGGTACTTCAGGTGGCTTTGTCAGCTGGAAGCCTTTGAACATTTCCTTGACATCCCTCATCTCTTTATCACCAAGTAGATCCAGAGCAATAAAAGCATCACTCTCTCTCTCTCAGATAGCTCCTTCTGAGGTGTAGTTCTAGGTGGTGGCTGAGGTGAGCTAGTTGTTGACATGGAGGGTAGAGCAGATGAGGTGTGAGCAGGTAGTTTTGAAGATGGGAACATACTACTATGAAAGGGATTTACAGCACTGGATGGCTGTGTCCATGAAGTAAATTGAACTTGTGCTGGCTGTGCCCAGAGACCATAGGTCTGAGAGGCTGCTGGACCAAATGATGCAGGCTGGCTCCAGCTTGGCACTGCTTGAGCACCAAAGGCAAGTGGTTGGCTGAACAGGCATCATAGACACAGGAAAGACTGACGCAGCCTGAGTGAAGGCAGATGTCTGTGCACTCCATGGTGATGAAGTTACTGGCAAGCCACCTGGGGGGAGATTGTTGTTACACAGCACTTCAGTGACCTGAAGACCTCAAGTAGGAGTGTATCAATTCCACCAAGGGTACCAGCGAAACAGTTTTTATGTGCTGTTTGCAAAAGACTGTTGATTTACACTTTATTTTAAGTAATTGGAGGAGGAGAAAGGGTTAAATATTTTTACTTAGCTCCATTTTGGTCCTGGAAGAACAGAACTGAGGTTGATAGAACAGAGTAGGAAAATAGTCCCAGCACAGAAGTGATTGATGTAAGTATTTACCATATAGTTACTTCTGTGTAAATGATTACTAAGACTCTGCAGCAGTGCTATTCTGGCCTCCCAAGCTGTACTTGGCATACTTGAACCTTGTGTAATTGAAGCAGCAAACTGCTGTCAAAGTTTAAGCAAAACACCCTGCTCCAGTTAAGGATGCAGAGTTTAGGGCTCTATTCACATAATTTAATAGTTTAGGGCAGACAGCACATGAGTTAAAGGGCAGGGCACTGCACATGAAGTAAAGGACAACTAGAACCCCTGTGTTGTCGTTAACAGATGTATTAGACTGGAGCAAGAGCTTCACTTTATGAACTAACCTAGACCAGCCAATGGAGGTGCTGTGGTAGGACTTGTTTTGAAGAGGTCCAGTGGGTTAGTTGGCACAGATCCTGTCTGTGCCACTGAGGTCAAGCTGAGACTCTCTGTAGTTGGCACAAACAAGTCTGAGCTAAATAAGTAATTCAATGTAGTCTAGAAAGAAAAAAACTGTTGTGAGATATCACGGCAGAACACATGCTGCCTTGATCAAGACCCACCAGTTCAGAGCTACAAGCTTTTATTTCCAGCTACAGCAGAGCAAAGAACTTTGATGAATCATTTAGAGACCAAATATAAGTTTCAAACCTCATCATTTTGTTCATGCCTACAGAGATGCATGGCATTAAGTAGGTATAATATACAACTAGTTACAAGTCAACAGCAAAAGAATAAGACTTAAAGTGATTGAATTGTTTTCTATGGTAATGTGTGTGTGTGTGTGTGTGTGTGTCCAACATTCAACTCATGCAGTTGTGGCAAGGTCAGCAACTGAGTTTTGCATCATTTCAGTGCAAGACAAATACAGCTGACCCAGAGACACCCTAATAGAACACCCTAGACACCTAATAGATACCCTAGAACTCTCGGGTAAGAAGGGTGGCTGTGGCTTGGGTTGTGGAAGAGAGGTTGTGATGCCATTCAAGAAGAGATCCTCTTTTACAAAAGTCTGGTCTCAGTTTCAGAGTTTAGATCCACTAACAGAATCTCTTCAGTTTCCTATTTCAGAAAGAAAAAATAAAGTTAGTTTTATGTATTACTTGCTGCATAGTACACAAGCTCAAGGAAAATAGCTGCAAAAGGAGACCCTAGTATCCATCACATCATACTAATAGGTATTAAATGTCACAGTAAAGTTACACTAAAGCTTCATCATATAAGCCATTAGGGCAATCATCACAAGCTGTGGTCAAGTCACAAACTCAGTGTTAAAAACACCTGTTTTAAGATCCCTTAGTTAAGTATCAGATGCTTGTTCTACAGCCTAGAGACTGCAAAGCCATCAAGCACTAATTGTACCTAGGGTGCTTTCACTTGAATCAAGAAGCCCTGGTTGAATTCTAGTCCTTTGTTTTGAGAAGTTGTGAAGCCACACTGCTTTAGTGTGACTTGAAGTTGCAGTCTCAGCTTTGGAGTAAGATTACAAAGCTATTTGCAGGTGGAAGAGGTGAACGTGCCATCTCTCCACCAAGCTGGCAGTAGAAGGGTAAGACTTGGTCACAAGCTAGACTGATACCTATTGCAGCACTAACTGGATCATGGCTGATGGTGGCTTATAGTGCTAGAATAAGCCAGTAGGATTTTTGGGGTCACAATGAGCTATGACAAGCTAAATGCATAATTTTGATGAGTTAGGCCACATCTTGAGCTAGGGCCACCCATCTAGAATGGCAAGGAATCCACTCTGAGGGACTTATTTAAGTATTTGCTTGTCCATAAGATGAGCTTCAGCTTTAAGGGTCTTTCGCAGAATCACAGAATGTTAGGAGTTGGAAGGGACCTCGAAAGCTCATCCAGTCCATCCCCCCTGCCAGAGCAGGATGACCTAGACCAGGTCACACAGGAACGTGTCCAGGTGGGTTTTGAATGTCTCCAGAGAAGGAGACTCCACAACTTCTCTGGGCAGCCTGGTCCTGTGCTCTGTAATCCTCACAGTGAAAAAGTTTTTCCTCCTTTCCTAAAGAGTGGGTCTGGTCTGCATATGTATAAGGATTGGTCCGGCTCAAGAGTTTCAACAGGTTTCAGTAATGTCTAGTGCACCAGGTGACTTGTGGGGGGTTGCAAGTGTGACTCAGCCTTGGATTGCCTTGAGGCCCTGTCTCTGCAGAGTTGACCCATGAGGAGCTGTGTAGTTAGTTCAGCCCTGTGATAAATGATTTAGCCTCAAACAAGATTGCAATTACAGTTTACAGTTTATTAAGTGAGTA